CTCGACCTCGCGGCTGGGGAGTGGGGAACGACCTGTGAGCGACCTGCGCCCAGGCGCCCGCACAGGCCTCACCACACGCGTTGCTCTGTATGAACTGCTCTTCCCTCCGATTCCCGTCTTCTCTCCGCTCTCTAGGAACCGTAGCTGGGCCTCAGGTTAATTAACGCCGAACAGCGCAGTCTGGACAGCAACACACGGAGACATTGGCAGGACACCCTACAAGCTGACCGTGGCATCAAAGGACCGCCCTCCCCGTGCGGGGTGGCTCAGGGGTTAAGCGTGGACCTAGGAACCTGGAGGTCAGGGTTTGATTCTGGGAAGGGCACATGCCCGGGTTGGGGGCTCCATCCCCAGTGGGGGGCGTGCAGGAGGCAGCCGATCCATGATTCTCTCTCATCATTGATGTTTCTCTCTCTCTCCCCCTCTCCTTTCCTCTCTGAAATCAATTAAAATAAATTAAAAGAAAAAAAAGTCGCCTTCCTCGCATTTCTTCCTCTTCCTGAAAGAAACAGCTGTGGTCCCCCGTGGCAAGGCCGCCCCGGAGCTGGGAGTGTGGTCACCTGGGCGCTGAACTACCCAAGCCTGGGGCACCTCCTGCCACGAGTTGGGGCTTCCTGCCTCCCATATGGCCCGGCCTGCGGGCACTCGGCACCCCAAAAAGGTCGGGTCCTCCGGGTCCGTCGCCACCGCGAATTCATTGGCGCTGACCCACGCGCTCGCCCACCGTGTCCTGCCCGCCAGCATGTCCAGCTAAACTTCCCACAGCAGCCCCTGCGATTAGTAACAGATTAATAACATCCACCAAGAGGAGACGGGACGCCAGGTGGGAGCTCCCGGCGCTAAGGCAGCACCCACCTCCCTCCCTTAAAATGGGGGGGGGGTGGCGCGGGGAGGAGGGACCCTCCCCAGCCAGCCTGCTCAGCGGCGGAAATGAAGGTGAAATTAACACGCGCGTCTTTGAAGCGAGAGTGACTTGAAAGAGAATTGCGTTTAGTTCTCGGTCCCATTGAGGCGGGAGGAAAGGCGCTGCCTGGCCTGGAGTGCTCAGTGTCATGACTGAAAAAAATAATTTCAGATAAAGGCCAAGACACGAGCACACGGGGTTCCCACGCGGGCAACACCGTCTCCCGCGCCAGTGGGAACGCGGTGGGGAAAAGCCTCCGATCAATGATCAATCTCAATCGATTGCCCTGCTCCTCCCTCCGCAGACCCCGCCAGGCCGGGGAGCGCATAGCGTTTTCGTCCCCAAGAGGCAGGGTGCGGGGCAGCAGCATCGGGGATGGGAAGGGGCCAGCAGCCTCCAGGGTCCCTGAGACTCCTCCCTCCCTCCCTCCCTCCCTCCCTCCCTGGTTGGCGCCCCCACAGGGTCCAGCAGATGCAAAGAGGGGTGCGGGCAGGTCACCTGACTCGGGCCAGCCCAGCGCGGGGGTCCAGGCCAGGGTTGGGGTCTGGATCATCGGGGGACAGAGCGCTCGGCTCCCATGCGGCCCTGGATGCTCCCAGCTCGGGCCCAGGCTGTTTTCTTTGCTTTAAAACACGGAGGCTCGTTATTGTCTCAAGATTTGTGAAGCCCGTGACCTCCAGTTTGCAAATGTATCTATCTATTTAGTTAAATGTGTCTATCTATTTAGTTACTTGCAAAGCGAGACAGGGACGGAGAAAGAAAGGTTACTTTCCGTCCTCAGCGCCCAGGGCCCCTCATGTACCCGGGGGTCACCCTCAGCCTGTGGCCTGGAGTGGTCGCCCTCCTACCCCGCCCCCAGGATTCCTGGTTCAGAGGTTTTGGGGGGACATGCGACGCCCCGATGCTGGTCCGGAGTTGCACGGCTTTCACTTCCCCTCTGGCCGGAGGAAACCCTGGTCGCGGGCAAAGCAGGCGGCTCTCTGGCCGCTTCGTGCCGCACGCCAGCTCTGCCTCCTGCAGGGAGGGGTCCCCCAGGGTCCCCCGCATCCCACCT